TCGATGCTGTCTTCCTTCATGTCGATGAGGAAGCAAGACGACATCTGAGGCGAGGGTGTGCCAGCGTTGAACAACGTGGGGGAGGCGTGTGTAAAATATTTGTTAGACATGTAATTGTACGTCTCAATCGCCTTCTCGATGTCCTCGTCGTGGATGCCCACTGCCACGCGCATCAGCATGTGCTGGGGCCGCTCCGCCACCTTTCCGTTGATCCGAAGAAGGTATGACCGTTCGAGCGTCTTGAAGCCGAAGAATTGGTAGTTGAAATCGCGGTCATAGACGATGGCCGAGTTCAGCTCGTCCGCATGCTTCTTGACGATTTCGTACACGGACTTGGACACCATAGGCTGGTGCTTTCCGTTCTTGGGGTTTATGTAGTTGTACAAGTCTTCGACGACAGCCGACCATTGCTTCTTGGTCTGTTTGTGGAGATTCGAAACCGCAATGCGAGCGGCGAGGATAGCGTAGTCGGGGTGGGTAACAGTCATGTATGCTGCCGTTTCAGCTGCCTGTTTTCGTTAGTACGGTGAGGTCAGAGCATAGAGATGCACGCACCAGGTTGTCCAGCTCGACTGTGTTCACTCCCTGGTATACGCCAGAAATCACCTTCATGGTGATTGCAGCGGGGTCGACATGGTCTGGGTCAAGCCCGTAACAAAGACGGGAGACCCGTGCTGTGATCTTGTCGAACTGCACGCGTTCTTTGCGGCCATCTGAAAGTCGTTAGCTTTCGATCATGCACATAGTGGTACAAAGTGGCGAGAAGGCGCAGTGTATGGGATTGTCTCATTGTTCTTACTTACCACGCTTGAATACAAACATACTGGCAGGATAAACAAACAGATGAAAGGGTTTGGGGTATCGAGAAGGAGTTGTGTGGAGGAGATCCGTCCAGCTTGGAAGAATTGGTGTCTTATACTAGCGGGGCTGGGACGCGTCCAAACGCGTTGACAAACCTTGGAAGGTGTGGAGGGCCGTGCACCACGCGTAGCACTTAACGGATCGTAGTCTTGGCAGTGGTGGTTCGGATGATCGTTTCGCCGGTCGCGGCGTTTTCTCCAGACTCCCGCAGCTTGGAGCCAGAACGAGTGCCGTCTCCGCTTCGTCCCGAACTCATAATCGAACCCTCGCCATGCCTCGTGGGCATATGAAATACCGGCATTTGAGCCGCAAATCCTCCCACCGTGAGGCGCTCCTCCGCAACCTCGTCACATCCCTCTTCAAGGCCGAATCGATAGAAACGACATGGCATAAGGCGAAGGAAGCTCAACGGCTGGCGGAGAAGGTGATCACATTGGCAAAGAAGAATACCGAGGCCTCGAGGCGGAGAGCACACCAGATTCTCTACGTACGGCTTTTCATTTCTTGAATTCGACTGCTGTTGACACGAAGAAACAGACACCGGACCAAATGGTACCCAAGGTTTTCCAGAAATTTGGCCCACGTTATGCAGACCGGAATGGCGGCTATACTCGTGTACTTCGCATTGAGCCCATAAAAGAGGACCAAGCACCTTCGGCGATCCTCGAGCTCGTGGACGGTCCTAGGGATATGCGCTTCGCCATGACAGCAAAGACCCTTGCTGCGATGCCCAAGGAGCAGCCTTTGAACGAGATCACCGCAAGAAATGTAGAAAAGGTCACGAAGTTCCGAAAGAACGGCATGGAGGACCTACGCCAGATGATCGAGAGGATGAGGCTACACAAGGACAACCCTGAGAAATACGATGGCGATATACCCGAGAAGAGGCCTGTCTACCCCATCCAGGAGGTAAATAAGAGAATGCAATATTGATCTGCGCGAGACTGTTATAACACACTGTACCATAAATGGCGAATGGGAGTACATATTTTAGGTCCAGGCTGCTTGGACAATCTTCGGAAAATCATGAACATCATTGTTCCCTTATCCGTTCGTGGCACTCATCAAACATTACGATTGAAGCGGTCCTTTCGGGGACTTCTGAGTGCTAACGGTATAGGAGCCACGGAGAACAAGGGATTCAAACACATGACACTGTAACAGGACTATCCTATAGGCAACCCATCAGACTTAGGACTCGATATAATCACTTCCCCCGACGTCGGTCTGCCCTCTGGAAAGGAGCGATGGTGCAGTTCATCCCAACTCACGCCATCTGCGCGTTCTGAGATTAGGGTGGGTTACCCACACCGGATCCGCAGAGGGGAAGGTCTTGGAACAGCCAACAAGATCCCTTACAGTCATAGCCTTTACAGACATACCTTATGCGCAACAGTGAGACTGATTCACTTTGATGTTTACAGTTGTAGACAAGCCACCTACACTGCTTGGCTTTAGTGGTTGACGTCAAGCACCACCACGATTTCACCATCCGCGCTAACCCCTTCTGGCCATAACCTCCTCAAGTGCTGCAGGCTGGCCCTTCGCAATACATCTCGGTCAGCGACAACCCGTGGACGCAGACTTCAATAATCACATACCGTCCTCTCCTATTCACTTATACATCATGGCTTCCCCCTCGCCAGTCATCCTGATCGACGTTCGCACTCCCGCGGAGTTCGCAACAGGCTTTCTTTCTTTCAAAGACACAAAGGCGATCAACATCGAATACCAGAATATCGAACAGCTGCCAGAGATTGTGTCTCAGCTTCGTAGTATCATCGTCAAGACAAGCGACACCATTACTCTATACTGTCGCAGCGGAAGACGATCCAATATCGCACTCCAGACACTCAGAGCATTGGGGTACAGCAGAGTGAGAGATATTGGAGGCTTTGATGAAGCCAAAGCAGTTCTGAGGGAAGAAGAACGGCAAGGATCTCTTCAACAGGGTGTCCCAGAAGTAGCCGGACAGATTCCAGAAAGAGACGACGCTGTAAAGATGGAGTCTAGACAGAATGCGTTTAGCACGTTGCTGGCTGGCTTGAAGGCTGTGGCTTAAAGATTGCGTAAGACGGTACCGGAAGAGTGACGCTTTCTGAGTATGGTCTAAGATACCCGTGGATACCGAGCTCTACCTTGACTGTCGGATGAAGGACAGTTTGGGCAAACGCCATTTGGAAGTCATTGGATTCTCCCCAGTCTGGTCACGGTTTTTCGGCATGCCTAATTCGCATATTCAATTATACTCGCCGTCTCCCTGTGGCTGCAACCTGGTATTGCAAGCAACACGAAGTGGTGGACGATTGTTCTGGGTCCTGCCTTCTTTTACGAGCCGCGCAGCAGTCGGAGACCGAGGCCGTGCACATCATCCCAGGCTCCATGAGAGACTTCTTGGAGTCTTATACCAGGAGCACGATTTGGGACTGGTCAACCGAGCTCGATTTGATCTACCGGTGAGTTTGCTAGGATCATCTCTGTGGAGTTGACTTGCCGGCGGATTCCATCCTATATCACGACTCCATTCAGTTTACTAAGGGTCGAAACGGGCATTTTGCATTCCCCGCAACGGTACCATCGATATGTTTCACCAAACACGCCGAGCACCTGCCCCACGATGCGAAAAGCGCGCTCACCAGCCGCTATGTTGCAGAACATCCACCCAATCGAAGAAGTTCCGCGGACTTCTCCTGAACTGGTATACATCCAGATGTAACACGACAGCGCCATCACATACATCTCCATCCCTCAACGCGAGCAATGCGAGCGGTACCATAAGGCAGACGAGGCAATTTCTTTTCACGATATGATGGTTGTGCAGCTTTGCTTTTCAGCTTAACGTATCGAGTATCTCATCCGATGTTGGAAGGTACATATTAATATACCCAGCTGGTGGAATACGAGTATTGGGTGCCGGTGATTGGCCATTCAGGTACGAGTGTCTGCAACACCTATACCGGAGGAATGGTAAAGGCTGTGCCAAGGGAGCGGAGATCGATCGCGTTGAGATGGGGATGCAGTCTCTCGAGATGAGTGTTTGTGGGGTCGTGGAGGATAGAACGGTTTGGAGAGTATAAAGAGCAAGAGATGGAACTGTTTTCCCTTCCAACGATTTCGACGCACAACTACATCCTATTCGAACGCAACAGCTCTCAATACAACCAAATCAGCTTCAAAAAGTCCGTATACCCTTTCCACACTTCATCCTTCCCCCTTCACCTGCCCCCAACTAAGCCCTCCAAGCCGTCCAATATACAGAATGCGCTTCACACTTCCCCTCGTCCTGCTCCTCACCTTGGGCCTCACCGAAGCCCGCAAATGTACCTGCAACGGCGGCTTCTCCAACACGGCCGCGGCCTGCCGCGCCATCAGCGCAAACGTCGGCCTCGGGTGCGATTTCCCAGCCTGCTGCGTGAACCCTGGGGACCAAGAAACGAGGTTCAGGAATATGTGTCGGCAGTTGGGCTTTTCGGGAAGTAGCTGTCGCGAGTGTTCGGCTTGTTAGGTTTGGTAGGGATGACTATGCGAGGGGTTGCTGAATGGGTGGAGGAGAAGAGGGCCTGGGAGCTTTCGAATGAGAAAGTAAAGGGAACCATCTACGTGTGTAGTGACGAATCACAAATTTACGTTACCGCCATTCTATTACTCGCTTTCAGCGAATTAATAGAGTTTGGAGACATGCACGTTACGTCGACCCCGCCCGTAAGCTAGCGGGAGCGGAACGGGTATCTGGGCCGCGATCGTGGCGCTCGCGGCTCGTATGCATGGAGAGTCGTTTAGGAGCACCCTACAACCTCTGGAGCACCCTACGATTACGAGCTCCTTAAATCATGTCGAACAATCCTTCTACCCTCCCTCTTAGTTTTACTTCCTTCTTTGAAGTAATCTTTTGAGTATATATATACCCTATAAGAATAAGAGACGGGAGCGCTTGATTGGAAAAGAACGAGAATGTCGACGTCGCAGACACACCACCTTCCCCCTTCGTCCGTACTGTCACAACTGTGGCAGTGCGGCAGCTCTCGCTAGCCATCCCCAGCTCCAAGCACACGCCAACAACCCAAAAAATAATTTCCCTTGCTTCCCCTACTACTTTCCCACCGCATGGAACCCCTCTTTCAAAGAGAAAAAAAGAAACGCATCCGTGGTGGGGCTCGAACCCACAGCCTTTGGATTTCAAGTTCCAGTCTACAACTGAATGTTAGAAGTCCAACGCGCTACCATTGCGCCACACGGACGATGCTTGATTTGTTAAAATTTTGAGTTGTTGTAATAACCTATAACGTTAATAAATTTTACCGCGGATATGTGTGGAGCCTTGATGAGAAGGAAGGTGGGGAGGAGGAAGGTACTGTCGGTTGTGTGCGACCTCGCTAACCAGCTTGGACATGGTAACACTTAGGTTGCAGAAAAAGCTGGATATAAGCTAGAGCACTTTATGATTACGAGCTGCTTAAGTTAAGCTATATCAAACAAATCTTTTACTCTCTCTCTCTGTTGCCTCCGCCTCCTCTAAGGTGACTATAAAGCACGCTCTACCATGAAGCCTACACAAACAGTCTTTTAGGATCTTTTCACGGTGGGCGTAAGTCCGGCTTTTTCTGTAACACTAGAGGGTGGAAGGAAGGTATCAAGAAGGGAGGAGGCGGGGAAGCTATTGGGACGCAGATTTGTGTGCAACTTCGCCAACCGGCTTGGACATAGTATCTATATAATGCTTGCTTTTTCATCTCTACCTACAGTGAGTGTCTGCTCTTTGAGCGCTCGGTGCGGAATGTGCGGAGCGCAAGCGTTGTTCTCCTAGTCCTTAGTCTTGAGCCTCAACGCTTGCAGCGCATTCTGCGACTTACAGTTGGCAACTCGAGAACGGGCGAAGACAGTGTCGACTGACGTCCAGAAATACCTGCAAGAACCTTCAACTTTTTTCGTGTCGGCTGACGCGCGGACGTGACAATAGGGATCTCAGATTTGGCTTCGGAGACTGTGCACTGTCGGAAGTGTGACATAGAACGGCTACTCAGTATTTTACTTTGACTGAAAGTCACCGGATCTGAGAATACAGTTCAGTAGGTGCTTTTAGAATTACTTGTGGATCTGAGAGGAAGGAAGGTGTCCGTTTGTACGGCAAAGTCGCATATGATGCCGGTCTCGAATTTTGAAGCGGGCGCAGCACAAATATTTCATCCACAGGGCCATCCAACAGAAGATACGATCATAAATTGATCATTCGGATTGCGAAGTCCGACGTGGTTGACCATCCTCGCCGGTAATCACAAGGTCTTGAACACAGACAACGTACTGTCGAGCTCTTCATAATAATTTGGTTTCGCTGGCAACGGCTCATCGGGCTTCAACCGTCTTGGATCAACCAGTCCTGCTTCAACTAGTCTTGCTTCAATCAATCTTGCCACAGTGGCGTGACCATGACTTGTCGTAATCCGGTGTTTGGGATGGGTCTGTTCAGAACATGGGGTGCTGTAGAACAGACTGTTGCGCATACGATTCCTTCAACTTCGAAGAACTTCTCGCTCTGTCTTCTGCGATGCCGGACTTGATAACAAGTTTGTGGTTTGCAGAGATTCAGCCCCTGGAACTTAATAGTCACGGAAGAGGAAATGACCTTGGGCATCAGATGGACAGCATCGAAATTTGCTGCCATATGCTCTCAATGGCCTCTTGAGGCGAGAAGTTGTCATGAGATAAGTAGCTCAGCCTTTGTAGCCCCTTTCCAGAGCAGATCTAGTCGGTTGATAGAATACCATAGACTGGATCTTCATCGGCCCAATTGGATGCAATTAGCAATCTAGTGTTGGAGAAGAAGTTATTCAGTCGAATGCATCCAAATTTTGAAGTGATTTGTGGTACTCATATGATGTCGTCGTTCACTTGCTCTTCTCTTACTTTGTGCTCTTTCGGCTTCTGGAATCCCTAAGCGTTGGCAATTCGTGGGTACTCAAGACATACGTGGCGAGTGTACTGTATCCAATGCAAATTTGAATTGAAGTAGTTGAGGTGATGCCGAGCAACTTCCATGTAATGATAGTGTCTTGGCCGAGCTGGGTGCATTCAAAGACGCAGTCCTTTGATCCCAAGGAGGTAGCCGAGACGTAGGTAGTCGGATCCGGGCAGGAGGACATATCATGTTGTCCTGTATGTACTGTATTGAAAGTAGAGGCTGCGACTTGCGGCATCGGGCAGGGCTGGATTTGAGTCGGCAATCCCTGAACATATACCACAATACGATGAAACCATTCGAAGAGATAGTGAACTCAGGCTGGCCTATGAGCAAATTCTGCAAAACTTACAATCTTTCGGGTTGTAGTGACAACCCAGTCAAAAGTTCCAGATATAGTATGCTGAAAAGAGGCTGTCGAGTTCATGGGTCCTATCTTTGAAGGCGTCCAGATGGTCATCGGTGCCATGCCATCTGCCCTGAAGACTTCCATAGCTTTGATGAATTTTCTGCTTCAGAACATCCATGGACGCTTGTGCCGACGATCTGAAAACGCATTTCTGGAAAAGCCGATTCAAGAACGGCCATGAGCTCTCAATGACGGGGCATACGATCCGGGAGATTTCGCATATCGTATCAGTCACTGAATCGGGACCGTTCCAGAGTTATTGAAGTCCATGATATGGTGGATGATTGCTAAGATCAACGGGAGAGGAAAATTCACGGGCTGTTTGCCATAGGGTCATCTATTTGCCGATCGAATTGTGGACGCGGTTGCAAGGCTCCCGGTGCAGGACAACATGGATCTGCTGAGCATTCGATGATAAGCCAGCAACTACCTCCATATTACGATAGGCTGACCCGACATGACCGCATGCAATTGGAGTGTTGGTTTATTCTCAAAAAATATTTCATCGCCATCTTCCTGCTGTGTACAGTCATGTCCGGCCTTTTAGTCGTTCGCAGCGATGTTGCTTCCGAACATATCTCGTCGAAGGGTTCTTAACGTCATCTTGTGCGGTGTCGACCTTTTGGGGGCGGCGAGTTGCAGGTAAATCGTTCATATCTAAGCTTGTGGATCAAAGGCCGTTTATAAGTATATGGGCCGGACTCTGCACGGAAATTTTTGAGACGGCGTCATATGGTAGAGAGGTCGATTTCCGAGCCCTTACTTCGTCTCTGCTTCCGATTTCCTACACTAGTCGACACCATAATGCGTTCGCCCATTTCTTCCAACTTCAGCCATGGGAACGACCGGCCGCTGCATAGAACCAATGTTGACCGTTTCTTGAGCTGATACCACTGCTTATGAGGACCGGTTCGCCAAGCTCTGTCATATGTAACGACTGATGATATCTTGGACGAAGCGCACCAGTAAGCTTCTTAGTGACTCCTGTCGCGTGTAGCATAGAGGGTTCGTGAATGTCGTCTTCGCTGAATCGAGGCGATGGTAAAGGGGTCAACGGAGATTGACGCTGTCTGAGACTGGGACTTCATCGAACCGAAGAGCCAAAAGAAGGCTATGAAAAAGCTGAGGCAGGTTGTCGCGCTGCTATAGAGGAGCATATTATGCCCTAGAACGAAGGCAGTTTCCGGTGCTGAAGTGGTATATACTGGTATGGATAGGCGTCAGAGTGCCCGCATACGGAGATATGGACACCTAGTGTTTTGTATTTCGCAGGTTTATGTAATGTGTAAAGTCGCACTCCGTCTTGGCCGAAGCGCATCGGTAAGCTTGTTGGTGACATGTAGTCGCTCATTGCGTGTAGCATAACGGGCTTGTAGACATTGCCATCGCTGAATTAAGCCATAACAAAGAGAGCAATACTGTAGCAACAGGTGCCACCGATATGCGGTTTCGAGTGAGAGCTACGCGGTGCAGGATCATAAGTCTTCTGCATCTTCGTGGGTGTCAATCCGGATTGAGCGAGACCTTCATAACGCGTCCATGTCTCTTCTCACTGCAGTCTAACTGTGCATCTGTATTAGTCGAATTCGAGCAAGTCGTAAGCACTTCGCGGAACTGTAAGAAGTTGGTGTGAAGCGTGTGCGCTAAACGGGGCAGCGGTCGGAGTAAAATCAAGGAATACGAAGGAGTGTTAGAATTACCAGCCCCGGATTATCGACCGCGCTGGTTTAAAACGAAGAACTCACTGGGGTTTTGTTATTATACCGTATTATAACAGTCGTATAGTTTTTGCGTATAGTGACTTTTGGGCTAGCAGTTCAGATCGACAGATAGAACCAAGTCCAGTCGCTTACGTGTTTGAAAAATTCGAGCATTCCAGAGTGATCCTAGTGTTTACTCAGGAGTGGAAATCAGAGCCCTGCAAAGGGCGTTCATAAGTGGTCCAGAATGCGCGCGGTATCGGGCGCGAAACCATCCCAAAGGTTCAGGTTTCCAATGCAGCGTGGGAGTCTCTTCGCAAACTGGATTGTTGACGGCTTCATAATGTTGTCCATGACTGCGTTGTGACCCCCTTAGTCGAAACATACAATAGAAGCGCGTTCATCCGGAGCCTTCTAGTGTCGGAGAAGTATTTTTAGAAGTGCGTCAGAACACCGGTCGTATCCGTGAAGATTGCATGTTTTGCTAGATCAGTGACTTCTTGTGCGGTAATCTCCCGATTATGAGATTACTTGATCGGCGGTCCTTGGCCATAAAAAGCTGGGATACAACCCTACGCAAGAGTACCCTTGCCATCGCGGGCCGTGCTTCTGATGCGGAGCTTGCACTTGCTGTCGTTCAATGGAGTGTTTTGAGAGCATACATCCTTCTCTCTGCCAGTCTTGTCGCGGTTGAAGAGACAGATTTGGGGGCGGAATCGTCTACAACAATGTCCACGGTGAAGTTGATGTGATAGATCCACGTAAACGGCCCTGGCAGTATCAGTGTCGTAGTACGTCCCCGTAGAGGCAAACCGTCAGTGGAGGCCAAGGGCGACGTGCGCATCTGAAACGCTCTTGTAATTCAGAGAAGCGGGTGGCAATCCAGTCATACCGCGGGCGTACTGGTAGATAACGGGTGGCTTCGGCGAACAACACATATACCGTCACGCTCGGTAAACTGGATCGAAATGGTACATAATCCGACTCTCTCTCGTTCGAGAAGGTTGTTGTGCGGAGCCCAGTACGCGGTAGACGAAGCAGCCTTCAAGTACTCGCCAACTTGGTTTCATGCAAGAGACTGCAAGAGGCAAGAAGCCATCAGTGTCGAATCCGTCGATGCCCGCTTCATAGCCTCTTCGCAAAAGCGGCTTCACGTTTGAGATTGCAGAAGCGCCG